GATGTCTTCATGAAAAGGTGACCCTGAGCTAAGTCTGAAACATGATCTGGGCAGAATTTCTAAAAGCAGAAAGGGAGCAGGAGGCAATGCAGGTGTACAAGCAACAGGCACAGGTGAGAGTGGGGGCTCTGCCAGGATTGTGGCTCGACAAAGGGCAGATTCAGCAATCAGGCCGGAAAGGCAGGCTGAGGTCAGAGCATGGCGCCAGCCTCCGAGACTGGACTTAACGCTACAGGCACCGGACTACCCATTTGGGCACCTATGCAGAAGAACAAGATCGGACTTGTGATCCAGCTGAGTTCTTGTGGCCACAAGGGTGGAGGATGGACTGGTGGGAAGAGAGACGCTAAGCAGAGGCTTCTCCCATGTGAGAGCTCATGACAAGAGCACAGGAAGGAAGAGGCTCCGAAACGAGGCCGTGGGGCCACAGGAATGGGAGGCCAACAGCAAGCGAGGGAGACATTGCAGGGAGACATAGCGGTAGAATGCATGCGACCCGACAGAGGCTGCAGGTGGACAGAGCGAGCAGAGAGACCCAGCAGACTTCAGGCTGAGTTACTCAGGAATGTAGCTGGGCATTCGGGCAATATCTGGAGATGGTGGGGGACTTGGAGATTACCCTTTTTGCTTTGTAAAAAAAGCACCATGTAATACACATCCTGGAGCATCTGTAATGAGCAGCTTGGAAGAAGAGTGTTAAGGAAGCACAGAACACAGAGGTCAGAGCCACTATCGTTACAATTATTATTAGCACAGGTTGGAGGGCGCATTCTGAACAATGTCGGGGCCTCTGCTTAAACTGGTGTCAGGAAAAAACTAGCGTTAGGAAAAGCATTTCCCTAAAAGGCTGTGTCTTCTTGGGTGGTTTTCATAACACTCGCTCAGCTGACCATTTAAACCTCCAGTGGCTGGTCACCCATTTAGATTCAAATCCAAGTCCTTCCAGGGCCTTGTAAGCCCTAGATGAGTTGGCTCAAACTCCCTCTCCAGCACCCTCTCTACTTTTCCCCTCACTCACTTCACTCCAGCCACAGTCATGCTTTGCCGTTCCTGAAACATATGTGACATGTGCCCACCGTGGAGTCTTTCCACTTGCTGTCCCCTCTCCCTGAATGCTCTTTGCCTGATGTCTTCCTACTTCGCTTCCTCACTTGTTAAACAAGCAAGGCGTTTGCTTAACTTTCATTTCCTCAAAGAGGGCCTTTTCTGACCACCCTAGAATTGCACCCTCCATGGGTCCCTGTTCCCTTATCCTGCATTATTTTTCTTCAGTGGACTTCCTGTCCAATAAGATGTGCAGATATCTTTTTATATACATAATTGTTTATTTCTTTATTGCCTTCCTTCCTCACTGTGTTATGAGCTTTGTTCTATTCAATTGGTTATTGTGCCTAAACTGGAGCCTGGTACTCAGTAGACTCTTAAAATAAATATTTATTGAATGAATGAAGCACTTCCTCCGGGACACAACCTGCTCTCATGTCCCTGGTTTACTCCCTGTTCCTTCAGACATTCCTTCTTAGTAACCTTTACCGGGTCTCCCTTTTCTGACTTCTAAATGCTGGTGTTCCTCAGGGCTCCATCCTGGATACTGCTTTTCTCTCTTCACTCTCACCCTACATGATCTCATCCATTTCTATTCATTTAAATACCATCTTTATGTAGCTTACTTCCAAATTCTAGCTCTAGCCCAGAGCTCCAAACTTAGATAGCCAATTCCCTACTTGACATCGCCACTTGAATGTCTAATAGGTATTTTAAACTTAACATGTCCATAACTGAATTCTTGATCCCTCCCACCACCCCTGCCATGCACCCCCCACACACCCCAATCAAAGCCTGCCACTCTCTAGAATTTCTGAATAGGAAGATTTATCTGGTTGAAAAGAGGGGAAAACTGTATTGTTTATGTAGGACTTTACTTAAGGACAACTGAAAAAAAAATCAGTTGTATCAGAGAAGGAACAGCAGGTAATAGAGATTATGGGGAGTATTGGCCCCTCTTTGGCATCAGCACTATCCTCCCTCACCCAGTCCTTGCTGTTTTAGCAAAAGGCACCACTTGTCGCTGGGTTACTCAAGAGAAAACCCTAGGATCCTCCGTTTTTGTCACCTCCACATCCAATCCATCAGCTACTTCTATTTTTCCACAAAGTGCAGTTTGAAGCCTTCTTCTCCCCTCTGTTTCTTTTTCTCTGTTCTGTCACCATCCTCTCTCACATGGACTCCCTATCTCGGCTCCCATGCCCGTTCTTGCTGCTTTGAAGCTCTTCTCCAAAGAACATCAAAACTGACCTTCTTCAACTGTGAACCATATCACGGTTTTCTTTAAAACTTTTAATGACCACCCGCATGCTTAGAGTAATACTTAAGCTCCGGACACTGGCCATACCCAAGTCACTGCTGATCACTCCATCCTCAGCATACACCATTCTCCACCTGATTGGATACTCTGCAGCAACACCAACCAGTCTTCCGTCTGTTCTCAGGATACTCCAAGCTCTTTATTGTCTGAGTCCTTCACATAGGCTGTTCCCCATGTCTGGAATGCTCTTCTTTCAATTCTTTACATGACTAACTCTGTTCCAAATTAATTTATCTAGCAGTCTGAAATAACTACACTACTGGTCAAAATATATGAAACAATGTTTTCAGACACTGGACATCAGGGAGCAGAGGTGAGTAGTCCCTGAAAGAACAGAAACAAACGAGTCCTGTGATTGACCCAGGTTGCTGCCTGGAGAGAGTCAGAAGGCAGAGCCCCAGGGTCTCTCTGGGTTGAGCAGGTGGAGTTGGGTGTCTATGTAGGCCAGAGTTCACAGGGCAAAGGACCGGAAGAGAGCGCGGAGCACAACGAGCTCTGGAAATCTGCTGAGGGTCTCCCTTGAAGCTCTCCCTGAATACTGATCAGTGCATGTGTGGGAGGAAACCACACTGTGCCAGAGAAAGAACCACCTGAAATGCTCAGAAAGAGCAATCCTTGAAATTCACACAGGGCTAGAAATAGTTTGTTTCCACCAGAGAAAGTGGAAAAACCTCCAAATTCATGGGTTGTCAGGCAGAGTACTCAGAAGGGTGTTATCAGCAGAGGAGAAAATGAGTCCTAAAGGTTGCTCTGATTCCAAATAACAGACCATAAAAGCAAGCCTCAAAAAGGGGAAAAACTAGACTCAAACTGATTCCAAATAATGTAACCCTGTCCCAAAACAAAGCATAAGAATATTTATGAGAATACAAAAATATGCAGTATTCAACAGGGTAAAATTTACCACAGTCATCCAATTAAATATTCCCAAGCTTGCAAAGAAGCAGGTCAATATGATCCATAACAGTGAGAAAAATCGATCAATAGAAACAGACCCAGAAATGACACAGATGGTGAAATGAATAGACAAGGACATTGAATAATTATAACTATACTCCATAGTATAGCTGTTATAAAACATTCTAATCATGTTAAAGCTAGAGGAAATATAGACCATGTTAAGTAGAAATGTGGAAGATATGGAAAAGACTCAGATGAAATTCTATAGGTGAAAACTAAATGATCTGATAGAAAAAATACACTACGGATGGGATTAATAACAGATGAGACATTGCAAAAGCAAAGATTCGTAAACATGAAGAAGTAGCTGTAGAAACTGCAAAATGAAACAAAGAGACTGAAGGAAAAAATGAACAGAGCATCAGTGTCTGTGGGCAACTTCAAGCAGCCCTAAAGGGAGTGGTGAGGAAACTTTTGGGGGCTGGTTATGTTCATTACCTTGATGGCGATGATGGTTTCACAGTTGCACACATAGTAAAACTCATCAAATTGTATGCATTAGATATGTTCAATTTATTGTGCTTCAATCATGTCTCAACCTTGGTATAAAAAAATCAATTGGGAACTAAAATCCCAGATATAATCAACATGGGAGACAGAAGGAGAGAAGTGGTGGAGGAGTGGGTTGGGAGACCAAGTGAGAAGCAGCAGCAATTTTCTAAGCTTATCTATTTGGGAAGAGTGGGTATGGATACCTTTATATTAACTGCATAAATTGTTATAAAAATATGTTTTAAAACAGCTGTCTTAGGGCCGGCCGAGTGGCTCAGTTGGTTCAGAGCTCACTCAAGAGTGTGAGCTCTGAGCAACAGGGTCGCCGGTTCGATTCCCAGCCTGAGCTGAGCTGCCGTTGAGCTGACAACAGGTGGCAGGATGGCTTAGCTAAAAAAAAAAACCAGACAAACAAAAATCAAAGCTATCTTAAAATTTTATGAGTAGTCACTAAATGAAGCAAAATAGAAGGCATAACTTGAAACCAGTGAAAGTAGAGAATGCAGCAGAATGACTGACTAAACACACAAGAGTAACACAAAGATCAGTAGCTTCTCAACACACGAGCAGTAACCAATTAGAAAATATAATGGAAAACAATGAAGTTCTCATAGTAGTTTCAAATATACTGCAGGAATAAAACTAACAAAAAATGAATCAAACTTTTATGAGGCAATCTATAAAACTTTATTCAAGGACATTATTTTAAATTTCAGCCTCTTTACTGTGTTTCCTCCCTAACACTTACTAAAAACTGCGTTTTAAAAAACCATATTTTTTGCAAACGGTAATAAATGTTACTTAAGGGGAAAGACAAAACAATATTGGTTGAAGTCACTTGTTTTTGCCATCTTTTCCCCCATTAGACTGTAAACTTCTTGAGGAAAAAGATCTTGTCTGTCGAGTTCACTCTGTCCCCCACCCAATACTGCTCACAGTTGCAAAACACGGAAGAACTAACGCACTCGCTAGCCCTCCTTCCTCCACCTACTTTAACCCGTATTACGCAATAATACCCAGAAATTGCTCGATGCCTTCCACGTGACAACACCCCCACCCACGCCTCATCCCAGCCAATCAGGATGCTTTGCACCCAGGGCCACGCTCCGCCCCCACAGCCGCACGCGGAGGGATCTTTCTTTCTCAGACTGGTTTTCTTTCAGTGAGGCCAATGCAGCTGCGTGCTGCTCCCTGATTGGCTGTACGCTGCTCCCTGATTGGCTGAGAGGTGCGGGGCTGCGCGCGCAGGCTCCACCTCGGTTACTAAGGGCGGGAGCCCGCCGAGGGCGCCGGTGGCTGGTGGTGTTACGGACAACTCGAAGCCTGACCGCGTTTGCCATGCCGAACCGCAAGGGTAGCCGGAATGCCTACTATTTCTTCGTGCAGGAGAAGATCCCCGAGCTGCGGCGGCGAGGCCTGCCCGTGGCTCGCGTGGCGGATGCCATCCCCCACTGCTCTGCTGACTGGGCGGTAAGGCAGGACGGATGGGGTGAGAGGGGCCGGGCAGTGGGGTAAGTGGGAGGGTGAGGCGGGAGGGGAGACCCCCAAGAGGCCCGCAATCCCGTGGCCCCTGCCGGAGGGAGAGAGGGCCCCATGGGCCCGGCCCGGGGCAAACCGACGCTGGAACCGCCGCCCTTCATGCCCAGACACCTGCCCTCCGGGCCGGGGCACTCGGGCCTCCCTGCAGCCTCTCTTCCTGTCTCCCCCTTCCACCTTCCCCAGATGCTGACGGAGCAGGAGAAGGAGAAATACGCGGACATGGCTCGCGAGTGGAAGGCCGCCCAGGGAAAGGACTGCGGGCCTTCAGAGAAGCAGGTAAAGGTCGCCAGAGACCCGCGGCCACCTGCCTGGCCCCCAGGCACGTTCCGCAGATGCTGGATGAGCGAACGGGAGAACGGCCAGGGCGGCCCGCCGGGGGGTTTCCATCAGCACAGAGGAGGCTGGAAGGTTTTCACGTGACCCCCGGGTGTCACGTGACCCCCGGGTGTCGCGTGCCTGTTGACAAGCCAGCGGGCTCCCTAGCTGGAGCCCACGGTGTTGGCGCCGTCGGTGGCGAAGGGCCAGGGCGAACCCCGCGAGGCCGCCTGCCGCCGGGGAACGGGGGGGCGGCGCTTCCGGGTTTGCCCTGGAAGACCCCCACCCGCCCTTCCACTCCCCTCCGATAAGAAGAACCTGTTTTCCCGAGGGTTTGAAGGTCGTTTGGACCGCTCTCCCTTTTCCAATAACACCCAGAACCAGGCCAGCTGCCGTGTTTATAAACGTTGACACAGCAAGACTTGCAGATGTTGGCAAATATTTGTGTGCCTTACAGTTAAGAGTTGAAAAGAGTGTATTTGGGTAAATTTCTGTGTCGTGGAAGGTTGAAGTACCAAATAAAGTTTGATTTCTTGATGCGTATCAAGGAAACGCAGGGTAATTGTGGCGTTTTTCCCCGCCTCCCCCATGTGCTTTCCATTTTTTCATCGTGAAATTCCATTCTTATTTTAAACTGTCAACGTTGGATTGACATGCAAGAGAGCTGTGCTTGTTTTAGGTTCAAGAGATTTTTATTTTCTGGATTTATGTTGGAGTAGAAGCTTCTAATCAGTTAATTTGTACTTAGTTGTACTTGCGAGCCTTGGTTTTTTGGTGTTTTTTTTTTCCCCTGTTTCTGACTACGATTTCTTCTAAGACATTTCCCTTCAAAATGTAAGCCATGTTGTGTGTATGTATACCTCACTGAGACTTGGAATCAGCACAATCTGGTTTTCCCTTGACGTAAAATCCAAACAACATTAGAGTACTTTGATGAGTGATGTTCTTTTAGGCCACTGGACTGGCACATATTATGTGACTCAGTAGGGTTAGTTTAGGTTGTCAGTAGTGGGTAAAGGGCTTTCAGTAATAGTTGAATTGGTTATTTACCACTCACCTTTTGATTCGAAATATTTATAGATTTTGCCATTGTCTGCATTTCAGTGTTGGTGTAATTGACAAATTGGTATGTATTTACTCATGGGGTTCATTGGCCCAGAGAGGTTACTGAAATAATCTGGGGGCTTAATTTTGCAGCGGTTTTTCTAAATTTAAGAGTTTAAGTATGTGGTCAATCATTCTCTCCCTCTTTAGAAACCTGTTTCCACCCCACTGAGGAGACCAGCCATGCTTGTACCAAAGCGGAATATTTCACCCCCAGATATGTCAAGCTTGTCTCTAAAAAGTGACCAAGGTAGGGTAATCCTAAAATGTTTTGCTTAGATAAACTTGGGCACTCAAGACACTATGATATAGCTATCGATCAGTAAATATGTGTTCTGTTCGTTGTGATCCAGCATTTCAAGGTAATTGACTACAGGTGTTCAAGTATGATGGCGCTGCAGCTGTAAGAGATCAGGTAATTTGCATTTGTTGAAGTAACACTGGAGAGTTTTTTGTTTTATTTTTTACAAAAATCTGGTATCTTGGTTTCTACCACTTCATATGTTATGAAGCATACTTAACCGATTTAACTGTTTATAGACACTTAAATACATTTACGCTATAAGGTAAACATGAATATTGAGTTAGCCCAGAGAAGAACATCACTAATAAGAGTCCTTGCTGTTCCCCTCTGTTTTTATTAATTGTATTTTGACTTTGTTGAAGATTGATAAACTTTTAACAGTCTTAAGTTTTGTCAGTCCTGGTAAATAAGACCCTTCTCATAGCCTCACATTTCTTTCTTCTTTTAGAGAATTTATAAGTGGTCTTGTGTATATTCCTAAGAAGTAAATGATGAACTAAATTGTCATAGTTTATATCACAGTTTTTCTCCACTGATTCAAGTAGAATCAGTACTTGGGAAATAAAGTAGTTGACCTTTTTCCCAAACTTTTATAACGGTTGAATATTGGTCACAGCTTTTCTTGTCTTTCCAGAGATTCGGGGCTTATGTATAGCTAAATTATATAGAGCGGCCTGCAAGTTTGAATAATTTTGTGGCTTCATGCAAAGACTGATTAACAACTTTAATCCTTGCTAAGTGTAATTGTAAACATTTTGTTCATTAATCTGGTACAGTTGATGAGTTTTATCTTTTCCAGCTCCTTTAGGCATATAAAAACAAGGAAAATGGTTCTAAAACTTCTGTCTTTGAGATGCAACTCTGTTCATGTTGTCTTACGTTTTATTTTTATTTAATTTTTTTTAGCTCTTCTTGGAGGCATTTTTTATTTTTTGAACATTTTTAGCCATGGCGAGCTACCTCCTCACTGTGTACAGCGCTTTCTCCCTTGTGAAATAGGCTGTGTTAAGTATTCTCTCCAAGAAGGCATTATGGCAGATTTCCACAGTTTTATAAATCCAGGTAAGTAGCCAGATAGAGTAAATGGCAGGTCTTAAAAAATACATTTTTTAATCTTGACCTTATTTGATAATAGCATTTTTCTTAAAAGCTGATGCACAACTGAGTTCTTAAAATGTAACAAGACTTCATAATAATGGTTGAAAAAAACTGTTAAGAATTAGGTGTTGACACAGAGTTTTTGGTTTAGGCTTTTAACCTCAGGTAAGCATTAGAGTTGGGTGGGTAGAAGGCTTGAAAACATGGACCCTGCTATTCACTTACCTGCGGCTTTACATGTCAGAATTTTCTAAAAGCTTTTTATACCTTGGCTCTTTTCAAGAATTTCTTTGCCCCATCCTTCACCTCAGCGGTCACTACTTTTTAACCTGCTGTCGCTTTGTAACCTTGAGCCAAGTACTTAACCTTCCTGAACCATGAGCTCATCTGTAGTACGGGGATCATGCCTAGTGGAGAGCTGCTCTGAGGAATACATGAGACACAGAGACAGCCTCATACTTAATAGGCTCTTCTGCCCATCAGGATCTCTTCTTCCCGTCAAAAGCAGTTAGTTACAAACACATAGGATTCGATTCAGTTCCCAAGAGGATAGAAGTCGTTAAGGAAACACTGTACCTTTAAAGGTAAATGGGAGAATGTGTGGGAAGAAGAGACAAGGAGAAGAGCTTGGGGAAAGAAGAACTTCATCTTTAGTTTTTGGCAGTTGCTCTAAATGTCATTAAGACAGCCCAGCACTTTCCCTTGTTTTCAGATGACAGAAAAAGTAATCATCGTGCTCATACTTGGGAGAGTTGCTGCTTAGGACAAGTCAAATAACTACTGTTTTCTGTATGGTTGTTAAACATTAGAAAGGTAGCATTTGGAGGGCCGGCCGAGTGGCGCGATGGTTAAGAGCTGGCTTGGGATGCCAGAGGGCCCCGGTTCGGATCCCACATATGAGGGCCAGTGACACTGCCC